GGGTGTGGAGGGATGAGTATGTTGTTTTGTGGTTTGTGCTATTCTGTTGTATTCTGTATTTTAAAAGCAATCTATTCATATTTTAAAAATCATAATTTTAGAAATATCTTGATGGACCTATAGGAAGTAACTGGTCTTTATTACTGCTTTGAACACAAGCAGCATATCCAGCCTACAAATATTCTCCAGCAGCCCATTCCCCAATCTGAGACTGACTGGAGAAGTCTTTTGGGTAACCATTGTCAGCCTAATTTTGATTGACTGAAGTAAATGTATCTCATAGGACCTAAGTGGGCAAAACAGAGTATACAGGAGAAGATAACTTTGCAGGTTATCTGGAACCAAATCATGGAGGGCTGTAATAGTAATGACCCAACACTTTGTAACTTGTCTAGAAACTAATTGGCAGCTAGTGCAATGATTTTAACTTTGCTGTAGTATAATCACTCCTATCCAATGATCCAAAGCAGGTAACAATATGCCTGATAAAGGAAAAAAACAAAAACACCCCATACCTTTTTTTAAAAAAAAACTGTTAAGGCTGCACAAAATACGAAGACCCTCTTCACAACCAAGGCTGCCATCGTAAGCAAATTTACCAGTGAATAAATTCCCATTATACTCAAGGGACTTAGTCCTGAAAACGCATGCATAGAATTGGCTTTAGGTCAAAAAGATATGGCCTTAGATTTAGTGTTCTTCTATTACCTTCTGAAATCCTGGGATTATATTGCAGACGTGTAGGTATTTCCTTTCCTGTTGAAACTGGCAGGAGAAGAAGTTAAAAAAACAAACACAAATAACACTTAGAGACAGAAAAAGGTAAGTCAATTTTCCATGTCTGTCCCTGGTGGGCGTGAGCTTGGTGGGGCCATGGATGACGCATCATCTAATTTCTCCTCCACTCACACCACTTTAGGATTAGTTTGTCATTTTAAGACCCATGGGAAGGGAGAAGATACAGTGACTAATCAAATCAAGATCATATTAGATTTTCAGATACTTTTCTATAAAAGGAAATAAATTGGTTCTGGGTCATTGCATATGGCCTTAAGTTTGGCCCTTCTGTATGTTGCCTTCTGAAATCACAGAAATCAGAGTGCAGGAGTAGCATCAAAAACCAGGAATACAAAAGCAGAATAAATCCAAAACATGAGATTCAGGGACAGTCCTCAAAACTTAAAATCATGAGACATGAACAAAAGGAAGCATGGAACATGGAACTAGAAATCCCTTGACTTGACAATACTAGACAATACTCAAACACCAGTGTTGCCTGAACTAATGACCCCATCTACTGAGCTAGCTAATATACAGAGAAAGTCATGCCTTCTCCCCTGGGAAACGGATAAGGTCTTCTTGGCTAATAGGCGTCTTGACCTTTGTAAATCCTCCTGAGAAACTCTGTATTGATGGAACATAAATCTCCTATCTAACTGCTCATTAGTCTGCACCTGGACTTTCATTTTCTTCCTCTGAACTCAGATCTGTCCCTGACCTTGCTTCCCTAGGGAACTGCCTTTCAGGGATGTGGCCTTCAAACATAGACCGCTCATTTTCAGGACTTAAAATCTCTTGCTGGCTCTCCTGCTGACTCACAGATCTAGAATCCCCAGTATTATCAGAATGACTAACAGGCCAGAATCCCTAGAGAGATCAGGTGTAGGCGCAATCAAAGGCTGAACTACAACATCTGGTTTGATAAAATGTGGTCCAAACGTTGACTTCCAAATGTCAGAAGGAGCAGGTTCCCTAAGAAGTGCTAGTCTGCGCAATGCTTTGTACGCAGTTAGCACCTTGATTTTATTTAGCAGTTAACCATCCAAAGACAATAAAACCATATTGAAGTAGTTATGGAGCTGATCTTTGCTGGTGTTTTAAATCTGCAAAATGGATTCATTGACTGTTTTGTTGTGGTGTTAAGGCAGATTCTGACCACATTTCATCTGCTTTGGAAGTATTTTAATGTAACATGCCTCTCGTTTTTACAGTTGAATGCGTGTTTCAGCCCACAGTAGATTCGGATTGGTGGTAATTTATTCTAGATGTAGTTTCATTTTAATTTTGACTGCTGTAGAGTCTGCTAATTCTTTCCTCTTGTTTCTTCAAAGGAAAACCTGCAAACACTAGGAACCGAAATAGAACGCTTGATTAAGCAGCAGCATGAACTGGAACAGAGGGTGAAGCAGACATAGCTGAGGGCAAGCCCAAGAAGGCAGCAAAGGCAGGTGCTTCAAATCCTGACAGTATAGAAACCGGATGTCTGCCAGCGTCTTCTGTCAAATCCCATGAAGCTTTAACAAAGCAAACCTACGTGTGCTTGTAAGCAAGGCTTTACAAGACCACAGTCCTGGTGCCTGCTTTGCCCAAAGTAATGGAGAGTTTGCATTTTTCTGAATATCATTTGCATTCATTTTGCATTTTATGAAACACTATATCAGCACCTCCAACTTGTACTTATATTTAAAGTGGAAAAAACACTTTGTTTTGTGCAATTAAGTTACCTTATTAATGAAGAAGTTTGAAAAAAGTATGTAATCCTGGTAGGTGCCCGAACCCACTCCCATTCTAGGTGTTTGATTCAAAGGAGTTTCTTGTTGGACTTATTAAAGTTACTGCCTACTGGAGTATAGGTCCCCCCTCCTAATATACATTCATTTTGGGTTTTTTTAATTGTCAAATTTTATTTATATCATGCATTAAAAGGGCTTTACAATAGACTGTATTTTCTTAATTTCACAGTCTAAAGCAATTTTACTAGTAAAAATATTTTTTAAAGTGAATTCCTTAGGTTCAAATTGGTTGCTTGTTTGTTTTTTAATTAAAGAGAACACACTGAATAGGAAACCCCTTCTGTGTTTACTTGGCATCAGCTGTTGAAACCTAGCCTTGTACTGGTTGGACTGATTAACAAAATGCATTAGAGAATTGAGATGAGAGTTGAGAGGCAACTCTGAACCTTAGAAACAGCTGTTGTAAATTGAAATGAAAGCAACAGTAGCATGTATGTGTTGCAGCATAAACAGAGGCGATATGTTGCACTACATTTCTGTACAAATAGTGACACTGTTGTGGATTCTAGGAAGAGAATGGGGAATTTGTTTGGACTCTTGAGTTGCAGAAATCATTTTCTTAGCAATGATAGCCTAATAACTTCTTCTTGATTGAAGCAGAGCAAACAGAAGAAGGATTTTCCAATGCTGGGAAAATAACACCTATTGTATTCTTGACAACCAAAAGAGTAATAAACAGTGATAATCTCTTCCTATAATGTGTAGCTGAGCATTTGCCCCTGTACAAATGAGCAAAGCATGAGGGATAATTAAGTGTTTAAAGCAGTGGTTCTCAACTTGTGAGTCCCCAGATATTTTGGCCTACAACCAGATGTTTTGGTCTACAACTCCCAGAAATCCCAGCCAGTTTACCAGCTGTTAGGATTTCTGGGAATTGAAGGCCAAAACATTTGGGGACCCACAGGTTGAGAATCACTGGTTTAAAGCTTCTTGTGTAGGGAGACAGAATGCTCGGTGATGGTGAAAAGGAGGAAGAAGAGTTGGTGTGGGCTTTAGGACCTCATCACATTGAAGTTCTGGGGTTTGTAATTTAGTGAGGTCCAAAACCTCTCTGGCTGAACAGTTTAAAAGACCCTCCCTAAACTACAAACCCCGTAATTTGTAGGAGGCAGCAGCAGCAGCAGCATTTAAAGTGAATAGATAATCTAGTGCAGGCAGTCTACCACTGTTAGACATGGTTGGAGCTGAAGTCCAAAACACCTGGAGGGCTGAAGTTTTCCCATGCCTGTTCTAGTGTGATGAGGTCTGTCGCCTTGTCTCCTCCTCTCACTTTGACAAGCACTAGCTTGCAGTTAGGTCTCCAAGGAAAAACAGGGCAGCTGAAGGAGGCGCCAGATTCTTAGGCTTGAATGTCTTTCTGTTCCTTCTTTTAGTGTGGAGCAGTACATGTTCATGTTAGTACTTGTCCTGGTATGAGAGTTAGGCAAAACACTTGTCCTTCCACTTATCTCCCGCCCCACCCCTTTTCAGGAAGTTGATGATTAATGTGAATGCATTGTCCTAACAAGATTTTGAATTACTTAGTTTAGCTTTTAAAATATGCACTGTCCAGAAGCAAAACTCTCTAATCATGTGTGTCTCACTTTTTTTAAATCTATGCATAAGGCATTCTTCCCATGAACTGTTCCATTCTAATTGAGTTCCTTTTTACCTCCCTAATTGGAAAACTAAAACCTCCTCTGTGTTGACGAAGGCTTTCATGGCCAGAATCACTGGGTTGCTATGAGTTTTCCAGGCGGTGTGGCCATGTTCCAGAAGCATTCTCTCCTCACGTTTCGCCCACATCTATGGCAGGCATCCTCAGACGTTGTGAGGTCTGTTGGAAACAGAGATTGTGAGATCTGTTGGAAATTTTCATGGTTTCCTCCTTTCTGTTGAAATTGTCCACATGCTGTGTCTGGGTTGGTTCATCAGGTGCTCTGCTAGGCCATTCAATGTTAATCAAGATGGCSAATTGCAAACATTCACACCTACTTCCAAATGACAAGAGTTCTTTCTCCCRCCCTGGACATTATTCCACAGATATATAAACCCAATTTTCCTAGTTTCCAACAGACCTCACAACCTCTGAGGATGCCTGCCATAGATGCACTYGAAACAGAAAGGAGGAAACAATGAAAATGAACAAAATCTGGCTACCAGTATTAAAAAAMTCTATAGTCAGGAGAGTAAATAAAGAGCAACACTAAAAAACAGGGGAATTCCAAACAAGAATCAATCRGGGCTAGCTAACACCTCCCAGGCAGCAACCAGCCAGGCTTTGAAGCTGCAAGGCCATTAAATGCTAATCAAGATGGCCAATTGCAACATGCACATTTGCCTCAAGCAGCCRAGATTTCTTTCTCCCAYCTTGGACATTCCACAGATAAAGAAACCTCACTTTCCTAGTTTCCAACAGACCTCACAACCTCTGAGGATGCCTGTCATAGATGTGGGTGAAACGTCAGGAGAGAATGCTTCTGGAACATGGCCATTCAGCCCGGAAAACTCACAGCAACCCAGTAAAACCTCCTCTACTGTAGTGCAGGAACACTGAGAGGACACCAACCTGTTTCAAGCTATGGTACTCCTTTTGATTATTCATTCTTAAGTACAAAACTCTGCTTGAATTGCTTACACAACTTCATGCGACTCTATCCCTCTTCTCTGAATTTATTTGCACTCCGAGAAAATGCTTTTGAGGGCAGAACTAATCAATTCATTGTATAAATATGTAGATAATGTTAGAGTTTGTATTTTTTTAAAAGCTATGCCTTTCATAGTTATCTGAGAGCATGATACATGTGTACAGTAGGAACATTAGAATAAGCAAAATATGCTTATCTTCCACCTCATACTATTTAATTGTACCCCTGGGCTACTTACACATGCCGGGGCAGAGGAGAGAAAACTGCTTGTTGTTGTACATAAGGAATTTAGACGGCAGCCTTATGCCCTCTTTACTTGAAGTAAACACCATTGAGCTCAGTAGGACTTTAAGCAGATATGTATAGGACTGAACATTAGACTTTGATATTCCATGTGTATAAATTAGGACAGAGAGAACTTGAAAGTTTATAAATGTGCAAATCATTTTCGTTTCATTGATTGCTCCTACTCAGATAAGACCATAAGGATTGAGATTTAAAGAAGGGATTGCATATAAAAACAGGTTTCTCCATCTTGTGTTACAGGATTGTATTTATTTTTGGAGTTGCAGGCACATCATAGCCTAGTACATTTTCCCTATGAGCCAGATTCCTATTTCAAAAATCATATATATGTAATTGCATTGAGGCTTGTTAAAATGCATCCAGGAATATAAATATTTAGAGAGACAGACAAACAGACAGAAATCTGGGCAGGGGAGCAGGCAGAGATGATCAGATGGACAATCAGCCAGATTGATCGATGGAGAGGGAATGGCTCAACCAATAAAGAAGTTAAGCATGCTGCTTGCTCACAGTTTCTCCAGTAGTTCTCAGTGTTATCTGCTTTTCTTCATGTGAAAGTGCTTGAGCATAGCACTTATCTAGGTATGCACATTTGTCCTTGCTGTGTGCTGATAAGTGAAAATGCAGGGGGGAAAACGGAATGATTCAATTTTTGGCAATATGTTTTTACCTTTATAACAGCAGAGAAGTGTGGATTGCGGCACTGTAACTTGGTAATTTACATGGATTTTCAGTGCATTTTTCTACCATATCACCATTTTTATAAACTTAGGCTTGCACAAAGTATTTCTGCTCAAGTATTTTCCAATGGGAATAGTGGTTCAAAGCAACTCTGTGCTTTGAAGAATGAGTGGCACATTACTGGATTTTTGCTGGGGTTTTTTAATACACGCACTTTAAAATTTCTGAAAGGCCACTAAATAAGATGATTTGAAATTGAGTTCCCTATTAAAAGAAAATTAAAATGCAACCATATGAGATAGCAGGAGAGGATACTTTAGATATATAAGGGTTAATGCTGCTTCTGTGTTAGAATCACAATCATATCACACTAGTGACACACGAGTCACTAGTCATCTTCTGTTGTGCATTGAAAATGCCCCTAGGACTGGTATTATGAAGAGCATTTTGGATTTCAACTCCCAGAAACCTCTGCCAGGAAGGCCATTGCTCAAACTAAGGGATTCTGGAAGCTGAAAGTCTAAAACAAGCAGTATCAGTTTGCCTCAACCCTACAATACCTAAACATGGTGACCTGGTTTGCACCAGTCCAAAAATGTGTCCTTGTGTTGACAGTAGTGCTCTGAAGGCCACTTTGGAGATCATTTCAATTTTCTAATAACACTCCCATGTTTCACCTCTGCTGCTACTGAGCTATGTGGTATAGGAAACAAAACAGTCCACATTTGTGTCTTAGTTCTGCTCCAGAAGTAAGAATGGAGTATGCAGCACTTGTTTCATCTTTTATCATTAGAATGATAGGGAAGCAGGTTGCAAATGGATGTTTATTCCCTTGCTATGCTTCACACATTGAACTTCCTCTGTGAGCAATGGGGAAACAAATTTTTTTTTCTGTTTGCATTTTCCTTAACTTCCTATTTTTTTCATCTTTATACCTTTCTTTTGTCTTTTCTCTCCCACCTTTTGTTCCTCTCTTCAGAGACATTTTTCTTTTTAACTCCTAGTTTTTGCTGCATGATATTCCCTAAGAACTGTGCTAGTATTCAGGGATATGTGGTTTCTATGAACAATTTTTTTAAAGTCAGAATCCTACACTATGGTAATGTATGTGCCAAGAAAAGCTGCAGTCTGTAAATTCTGGAAAATACATCTTTGGAGGAATAATTTACAGTAGTTCTGGTAAAGGAGCTTTGTAGAGCCATTGTTCTAACACAATTATTTCCAATTATTTGGCCTTCCAGATGTTTTGGACTTCTTCCCCCATAATTCCTGACTGTTGGTCAAGATGTCCAGGACTTATGGGAATTGAAGTCTAAAACATCTATAGGACTAGAGTTTTGGGATCACTGTTCTAACAGATAAAAAGCTTTTTCAGCCCCCTGTCTTACCCATCTTCTGAAAAACTGCTACTAGACATTGGCCTGAACATGCAAACCCAGCTTTGCAGCCTTGAGGACTATAAACTTTATTTAGAGTTCTGTTGAAAGAAGAGTTCATCTTATTCTTGAATTTTCTATGTTTTCACTGAATGTTTGTCTCTGTGCAGCTCTGTCAATATTGAGCTGCTTCAACACCATACGAGTGCCTACCTCCTTGTCTGCATTTGTGTAACTGACAATGTGCTTACTTAGAGGTAGTTTTACTGTCAGCTGAGGTCAAATCAGAGCACTTTTCTTTTCAAAGAGAAAGTTAATCAACTTAAGAACACTGACTTGTGTTTGCATGTATGGGCACAGTCCATGGAATTTCATTGCATGAATAACTGCTGATTCACAAAAATATGTGCATCACTTGATTTCTCATCTTTTGATGACACCTGAGGGTTTTTTTCCTGAATGACTGCATTGAAAAATACAGTGTTTCAGATGAAGCTGGGTAATCATTCTAGCTTCATGTTGACTCTGGTAACAATAATAGTGATAAATGGCAATGAATCACTTGATGTTTCCACAGACATTGATAGCTGTTCTTCAGTTACCAAGGACTACTTTCCTTAAGATATAGAAGAAACAAATCAGGAAGAATAGAAAGGCATAATCTTAAAATTATTTTGTCTGTAGAGTGATAATTCGCATGGTATTGACCTCTCTCAAAAGGTATTCTGCGTTCATCATTAATTCTGTGATTATTTTTGTTAAATTGGTTCCTGAAACAAAGTTGGGTGCACTCACATCTCAGTTTTCTGTCAATTCCATAATATTGTCTGAGAGTACACAATCTTATGTGTATTTTATTTGTATTTTATTCATAATCATTGAAATGCAGGGTGGTTTAATGTTGTGTAGACAACAGTAGGTGGTGCTAGAAAACTCTTTTAGAGACTTCTAGCCCCCAAAAATGTAAGGGGAGATGTTGCCATATCTATGTAAATTTATCTGAATCACAGCATTTTTTCCACAATGAAATAGTTTTATTTATTGATTTTATGTGCTGATATTTTCACTATGTCCAATCTTCCACTTGTATGTATATGTATTAAGACAAACGTTATGTAAAATAATGACTTGTTGATTTATATTATGTAGATATTCCTGTACAAATGAAGATTCCCAAATCCTGAGACATTACGAGCTATACATGTGTATATATCAGACTTTGAAATAATAAACACCATGAACAAATGCACAGGTGCTTCTGTTTAACTTTGGATTGGGCATTTTGGAGGGTGGGGACAGTTTTCAACATAAATTCCTTGGTCCAAGAAGAAAAAAATCCACACATCTGCACTGAATAAAACCGAGAGTGAGAACGATGGATTGCAGCCTCTAGCTGTCCTCATCATTAGGCGTAATTGAAAGGCCTGCTGGAACAATGATTGGAAGACCACATGAAATGAACAGATTTCATGGATGTGCATCTCTGTCCTAGGTCACTAGTTTTATGTGACTATGCAAAACAATATACAATGATGACAGTGAAAGCAAAAGCAAGTATTTTTGAGGAAAGGTTTCTGATGTGTTTGGTTGAGCCAATTATTTGATTTGACACACAAAGCTGTAATACCAAACTCAATAAGTCCTTTCAGACTTAGAAAACTTTGGTGATACACTTCTTTATTTTGTCTTTACCCTTTCTTTCTTCTATGGAGTTCAACATGGCTCTCCCTATTTTTAGGTTCACCATAATCCTGTAGGGATAAGGTCAAGTTGAGATGGAGTGATTGGCCCAAGGTCATCCAGTGAGTTTCACTCATATACTTCTGGTGTAGGCATGTTGGGTGTATTACAAATATTCGTGTGTAAGTCTAGAAATTTTAAACCAAATATGGACCCAAAAAGCCTGGGCCGACATATCCACAGATTACTGTAACTACAGTGCCTTAACTCTTACATAAAAAGGAGCCATTCCCTTATATGAGTAAAGTGGCAAAAGGCAAGAGCTTAGTCTGTCACAGAAGAACAAGAACTAACCCCTCTATTTTCTCCATCATGGTGCCACTTTCTGGACTTTTTCAAAGGTGGGTGGGTGGGGGGGGGGGAAGCAATGGCTAACGAGGTGGCACTGATGCATGGAATGATCTTCAACTTATCCATGGGTCATATCAAAACCCATAATTTTGGCCCCAAAGCCTCCTGTCAACTTATGTGTGAGGTCGACTTATACATGAGTATAATTAATGTGCCTGAAACTTTCTCCATTATTTCCCTCTAGATTGTGTCATACCATGTCATTGCTCCCTTCTGGAAGTTACCCATACATATTGAGAATATGTATGTGGAATGGGTACTGTTCCCCCTTGATACTCTCATCAGATGAGGCACCTGTGCCAGAGCAGCTGACCCTTTGAGATATGAATATTTGAAACAAAGACCGGTAGAACAAGAAGCTGACAGCACAGAAAATGCTAGCAGCATAATTGCTTATTTCTCTTAAACATGAACTTCCCCAAGACACTTTTTAAAAAGCATATCTCCCTACATTAGCTAAAGGATTAATTTATTTCTGATTCCCGGTGTACCTTTGACCATGTTGTTTCAGTTACTCAAACATACTGGCTTCTTTGTGGGGGAAATAACCATGACTTGGTTTGTTTGGATAAACATAATCTTATTTCTTGCCAGACATGTGTATACCAGGTGCCTAAACCAAAATCTCTAAAATGCAGCAGGAGGAGTTTTAACAAGACACGCAGGATGCTTATCTTTGCCAAAGACAAACTAATTCAATTCCTGCCTTGGCCGGGCTGAAGTGTACCTTGGGAAGCTCACCTAGGGGAGGAATCTCGGAGGGATTTCTGCAGATTTGTAGATCCTATGTGTGTTTACATGAACAAAACTATCCTGCCTTCTGTTTTCTATCTACAGCTGGCAGTTGTGGCCTCTCAACCAGTTTGGTTGCAGGATCAGGACAAGCCATTTATAACTCTATGCAGTGCCCTAAAGCAGGGAAACAGGATCCAATTAACCTAAAACAACTGCCAGTAGCCGACCGTTAAAACTTCGTTTTGTAAATTGGCAAGAAGAGAAATGTCACTAGAAGTTGGATTGGGAGCAAGGGAACTAAAGGATTTTCTCCTTGCAGTTTCATCTGTTGTTGTATTGTTTTACTACCATGTTCATGCTTCCTTGCCTTAATGTGTGGAAAAATAATGTCCTTATCTTCACAATACTGCATGCCTGGTTAGGTTGAGAGACAGAGATTGGGCTGATACTATTCCTGAAACTCTACCCCTAGTTGGGTATTTGAAGCTGGGTTTCCTTGGGCTAAGGCAAATGTAGCCCTTCAGATGTTTTGAACTTCAGTTCCTAGATGCCCTATCTAGCATGACCAATCGTAAGGGATTATGGGCGCTGCAGACCAAAATATTTGGATAATCAAGGATTCCGTACTCACAGCCTAAGGAGAATGATCTAATTTAAGAATAAGGATCATGCAGTCCTCCAGATGCTAGTAGACTACAACTTCTGGCATTCCAATTTTCTATGATGATTAAGAATGATGGTACCTGTAGTCTACCAACATTTGAAGAACTACATGATGTTTACCTCTGGTCTGTGCTTTATGTACTTCAGTTAGCAATTTAGATGTGTTATTGAGTATTCCTTCTGTTAAAGTTTAGCACCAGGGACAGAAATGACATAGAAAAAAACAAGGAGAAGTTTCTATGCCACAAAAAAGAGCAGTTGTACATATTTCAGCCAATGCTTTTTCAAAACTAATAATATACACATGTGAAACAAAATACCCACATCAGGTGAGCATGTTAAAAAAATTATTCTTGAAACTTGAAGGTTTCTAAATTCCACTTTTCTGATCATATCTGTTTTAGAGATTGTAGGTTCTCACATGCTGGCATAGATTGTGAGGAAGGCTTGTCTTCTTTTCCTTTTCCTTGTGTTCTTTATACATCATTGGTTCGCAACCTGTAGTCTGTGGACCAACAATAGTCCCCGAAAACAAAAATATGGTCTGCACCCTCACCATTACTACACCGCTGCCTTGAAACCATGCAGCAACAAGAGTGTCTGGTCTCACAAAACCCTCTTATAGTGCCAAGGCAACAAGGATGATGGAAGGGGTGAGGCTGACTACCCATGAATGATTACTACTACCACATCAGCTCTAGATTATTAAATATGGCTTTCTATGGGTGAGCAGACGACAACTACTGGATGGCATATGTTCTGTATCAGAAACTAGAGTTGATGTGGTCTATCCAGTGCAATTTTCTGAATCAGCACCCCAAATAAACAAACGGATCCTAAAGTTGACCAAAAACTGATTCGTAACCCTTTTGGAGACTGGTCCCTGGTCAAAGTGGTCCATGATAAAAAAAAAAAAGTTGGGAACCAATGTTATACAAGATCCATAAAGGATTCTGGAGGCAGGTCTTACCTTGCCTGTTTTTGGCAGGCACATACAGCTAGAGCAGAATCCTATTCTTTCCTATCTGATGTTTTCTTGCACAGTTTACTCCAAACATGCTGTACCAAAAGACATGCTATACAGAAAGTCTCTCCTGTCCTCTTTCATCTTCCTCCCGATACCAATAAAGCTAAATCTTCCAGAAGATAAGGGGAAAGGGGGCAGAAAGATGTAAGAATGACCTCCTTTACAAGAGCCATTATCAACCAAGGTATGCCCGCAATATTTCTTGATATTTATTTGCTTAATCTGTTCAGCTACAGGAAGGATGGATGTAAATAAAATTTCATTGTAGCAATACCTTGCTACAATTTAATAGTGCACAATCACGTTTGAAGGCTCCTCGCATATTTCACAAAATGGACAAAATGGACAAAAATAATCGGAGGCAGGTTTTAGATTAGAGTCAGCAAAATTCAGCCCCCAATACTATTTGCGGGATCCTCGGGGATCAAATTAATTTTTGAATAGTTTTTTCTCTCAAATGTACTCTGGGATATATGGAGAGCATTTCTACCACATTTGAAAGAGTCCAGCGGTTAAAAATTTGTTTACAAATATTTTTGCAGAAAATTCCTTCTATGAGGCATTAATTTCTACAAAATATATGCCCTTCCTAATCTAATCTAAGCCCTAGCAAACCGCTTTTTTAATTTTATTTTTTGCAGAAGTATGTAGATTGGGGATATAGGGTTCTCTGACCTCATCACACTAGAGTGTTGATCCACTCTAAATCTGGTTGCTGCCTCCTGCAGAATTCTGGGGCTTGTAGTTTAAGGAGGGCCTTTAAATTGCTCAGCCAAACATATACTGGACCTCATTAAACCACAAACCCCAGAATTCTGCAGGAGACAGCAACCAGGTTTAAAGTGGATCCATGCTCTAGTGTGATGAGGCACTAAGATCTCCTGGGGCACCTAGCCTTCCATAGTTGACCACCCAAATTTAAAGCAACTGGGGCCAACCCATTGCTTATAAAAATAAGGCATCAAAAATTAGTTACTGCAAAAACTGAAAATGCAGTAGGCATCACAAATCTCTTCAGTCCTTTGTGCTCAGTCTCTGATGGTCTAGCATGCTTCTGGGTTCATGGAGTTGTTTCAAAGGGGGATTGCATGCACACTCACATCCCCAGTTGTCCTACACATGAATAGGCCAAAAGCTGTGCAAGCATCAACTGAAGGAACATTCACTTCAAGCCCTGCAGAAAGTTGATGGTATATCTTTGAACCAGGCTTGGAGTGAAAGTTCCTTCAGTTGTAATATATTTAATTCTAAGAAAGTTGAAGAGCCAGCTTGGTGCCATGTTTTAATATTGGACTAGAATAATGGGAGACCAAAGTCCCAGCCGCTGGATGACCTTGGGTAAATCACATTCATTTTCAGAGGAAGGCAAATTCAAAACGAATTATGTCAAGGAAACCATGTGATAGGTTCATGCTAGGGTCGCCATAAATCAGAAATCATTTGAAGGCACACAAAACAGGTAACAACAACAACGAAGTGGAGCCTCGGGGTTCTTGATGATACACTGAACTTCAGACTGAGCAGGCACACAGATGGCAATCTTACAATGTGTAAGTGGCCACTTAAGTAGGAACAGTCTCCCTTCAAGTAGGGAATGGCCAAGGGGCACAGCTCAGGATAAATGCCCATCAATGCTTCATATCTTACCCGATTTATGGTTTCTTTATAGTCAACAGCAGAAGAGTTGACCCAACAACAGCAGCTTCCCAAAAAGATGGATAACCTGCCCTAAC